CCGCTGTGCCAGGGTCACTGCACTGTCTGTGCCGTAGCCTCTGGCGGGGTCTCCGGCGCTGCTCGGAGCTCTCTCCTGTGGCGGTGCCGCAGGCTGCCAGCTCGCTGTGGCCGCTTCTGGATGGAGGGGCTTGTGGCTCATCTGGGCACTGCTGGCTCTCACTTTTCCAGCTGGCCAGATATTCTGCTTCGGATTTCTGAAGCATGACCAGGGTCCCTCTGGAGCTCCGAGTTTGAAGCTTACCCTGGTACCATCATGTCATGGGCTCCCTTACACTGAGTGGGTCATTCCCTGCTCTTTCCCTACAAGTTATTGCATTTGCTGTCCCAAAAGTGTGAGCTGTTCCTGGGCATCCCTGGGTTCATGCTGGAGGTGACGGTGTGCTCCTTTTCCTGGTCCTCATTCCACCGGGTTGCGGGGATGAGTCACACCGGTTGTCACCGTGTTGTGCTCCATGAGGAAGGGCAGAGCTGAGCTGCTGCTGGTGACAGGCAGCACAGTGCTTGCCATGGCTGCCAGGCACTGCCTGGTCAATGGCTGTGGAGATGACAGCCTGCAGGTTTGCTAGAGGTCAGGAGCTCCCCTTGACTTTTCTCCTTCCAATCTCTCATTTTGCTGGGATTCCTTGCACAGCACCTGAGGACATCTCCTTTGGGCTCCCCTTGGGACTGGAGAGGCAGGCCTCCCGTTTCAGTTGCTCCCACCTCTGTACTCAGATAGTCCTATCCCAGCTGGAGCAGGGGTGGTGGCTGCAGGAGGCACAGCAGTCTCCCTTGCCTTGCCTCTCCCGTCCTTTGGTGCCCTCCTCTCCTCCTGGTTAATTCTCTGTGTTTATAAGCAAACATTGGGTAATAGGCAAGGTAAACAGCACCTCCACGCAGGAGCAGACATGGGCACACGGCCAAGGCAGGCGGCTCCTCGGCTGTGGGTGTGCCATGGGGGCAGCAGGCGCTGTGTGCCAGGCCCCCTTGCCCAGGGGCTGGCCCACGTCTCCGCGAGGCGCAGCCTGCCCTCCCGAGAGCTGAGGAAAGGTGCCCTGGGCATGACCTCTGTCCTGTCTCTGCAGATCGCGCTTCTGTCCTGGATGGTTTGTTCCTGTGCTTCTGTGGGCTTGGCCCCATGTGGCCTTGGGCTGAGCTGGGACCAGTAGGGCAGAGAGGCCGCTGTGCCTCAGAGTGCTGACGCTGGGAGGCTGCTGGACCTGCTTCTCCCAGGACCCTCCTGCTCCTGGGACCCTCCTGCTCGCCAGCTCGAGGAACCCCGTTACTCTGATGGATCTGAGGCCCTGCTCGCTGCTGTTGCTCTGGACTCTGGTGGTTGCCCTCACTCTCCTGGACCAGGAGGTGCTGGCCCAGCATATTTACACCAACACCTGGGCTGTGCTCGTCCCTGCAGGACCCCAGGAGGCTGACAGGCTGGCCAGGAAGCATGGATTCCTCAACCTAGGCCCGGTAAGTCTCCTGCTTCCCCTTCTCACTGAACTAGTGTTCTCTGACGTGGTCTGGGCAGGTGCTGAGCTTTGTCCCAGAGCTGGCTTGGGGCTTGCTCTTTCTGGCAGCAGGACCACTGTGTTTGTGCCTGTTTGCTGTGGCCTTCCAGCATCTGCTGCCTTGACTCAATGTTGGCAATTACCTGTATGGAGCCAGGGTCTCCCCCTGTCACTGGGACCGCTGGTGACATGGTACGCTGCCTGCTGGATGGGGGAGAAGGAAAAGCCCATCCTAGCGTGAGGAGCTGGCCTGGAAGTGCTGTGTGATGAGGGATGGGGAAGGCTTCCAGATTCCACTGTTGCTCCCCACAGCAAGCTGCCCAGTGCAGCAAGGCCTTGGTTCAGTGGGACAGCAGCAGCGTCTCTGAGCTGTCCCCAGAGGGGTCTGACAGCAGCTGTGTATTCTTACTCCTGAGCTGTCCTTGACAGAAGGTGTGTCAGCAGGTCTCCCCGGCTCTCAGCTTTCCCTGCTGTCAGCCAGCGACCAGGCAGTGTGCGTGGCTGTGCTGGGAGTGAGCTGTTTCTCTGGGAAGGAAGTGCAGGGTGAAATCCCAGAGGAAATTGCACAACTGTGGCTGTGGTGTCAGGACCTCGCTGTGCGCAGCTGCTGGGAGCAGTGAGAGGGTGGCTGCTGCAGGAGCCAGCAGGACCTTGTCCTGCTACCCAAAAGGAGCCCTGCATGGGCACTGGGTACTCTGAGCCCTCTGGGACTTGTGTCGTAGGAGTGACCTGTGGGGGTTGTGGCTAGAGCCCAGTGAGGGTGTCTGTGCTGGGTGGGCCACGGCATTGCCTTAGGCAGCTGCTGTCAGTGTGGAAGTGGCTCAGAGCAGGTCTCAGGGGAAAGAACTTGTCAGGCCAAGGCAGCTGCCATGCATAGAGGACTGGGAGAGTGGCATGTCCACCAGCCTGGATGTCTGATGAGACAGACCCCTGGAGTGGAGATGGGGGTGAGGTACCATCAGCCTGCTCCTGGCAGTGCTGCCCATCATGCTGTGGTGCCTGGTCCCAGGCCTGGCTGCCAGGGCCAAGAGACACTGCTTCTGTGGCTTCATCTCCACAGTGCAGGGCCTTGTACTTCAGCTGAGAGCCCAGGCTGTCATAAGTTCCATCCCTGTGAGCCACAGAGGCTCTGTGCCAGCTCTGCCCTTGTCTTCTCCCCACACCGTGGTTCTGCACCTGGAAGCTGGCACCTCTTCCTGGCTCCCCGTGCCCTCACAGCAGTGAGCCTGCCCTTGCAAGCAGAGCCCCACATGCTGCAGCAGCCCGGGCTGTAGCAGGAGCTTCTGGTCTGGGCATGTTTTCTACCGTTCTGGAGCCTGCCCCACTGTCTGCACTGTGGGACAAGGTTTGCTGGCCATGGCTTTGCAGACGGGTTGTGGCAGTCCAGTGGGAAGAGTGTGGCTGGAAAGAGCCTGGGGCTTTCCCTTGCAGGCTTCTGGACTGCTGTTCCTGGGGGTGTGTGCCACTGGGACAGGGTATGCAGCCAGGCTGGGAGTGGGGGACTGGGTGCATCTGGCAGTGCCCCAGTGAGAGGAACCCAGTGTCCTTCTCTGAGAGGATCCTGGCCTCAGCCTGGGCTCAGGACACTGTCCCCAAAGCTGTGCTGTCCTGGCATACCTGTGGCTATGCTGCTGCCTATGGAATAGGAGCCAGTGGCACTTGGGCAGAGGGCCCGTGACTGGCTCTAGTGACCTTGGGGAGGGCTTGAGGAAAGCACAGGGGACAGTGAGGAGTCGTGGGTCGGAGGTGGGGGCTGCATGTGGCAGTGAGGTGGGTTTGTAGGGGTTTGCACTGCTGGGATTGTGCCGAGAAGGGGGCAAGGGCATTGCCCCCCCTGCTGGGATTGGGGTCACTGGGAGGGACACTGATGGAGCCATCCCTGGGCTGTGCTGACAGGACAGTGCCATCCTGGGAGGGGGTGGTCCTGTCTCCCACACCACTGGGCTGCAGGTCCAGCATGTTGCTCCACTCCAGGGGCTGTGGTCAGGCATGCAGGCAGCCTCCTAGCCCTGGGGCTGGCCAGGGTCGTTGTGAGCTGTGGCCAGGGGTCAAGCAGCAGCACTGAACTGGCACCAGGGACACGTGGTGCTGGGGGGTGGCTTTGTCCTTGCTGAGGACAGGGACAGTGAAGATTAGGGTGGAAGTGTGTGGGCTGGCCAGCTCCAGGCTGCCACCACAGTGTCATTGCAGACCTAATCCAGGTGGATGACCAGTCAGAGCTGCACTCTGTGTGCAGGAACAATCTGGGCTCTGTCCATACCCCGGAGGGGGTGAGGGATGCTGAGGGAGAGCAACCAGCCTGCATTCCCCCACCAGCCCTGTGCAGAGGCTTTGTACCTTGACACCTCCTCAGGGGCTCTGGGCTGACAGGCACCCTGGGGAACACGGTGTGCCAGAGGAACGGGGCCAGGGTTTGGGATGAAATGCGTGCCTGGGAGAGCTGACTGCTGCCCTGGGCCTCAGGGTGCTCAGCTGGGTGCGCCTTGCTTGGCCCAGTCTGTCCAAATTGGCAGCACACCTGGAGAGCTGTCATAAGCTGGGGAGGTTTGTTAGCCCCAAACAGATGGTTTTGGGGCAACCTGAGATGGAGGAGGGTGAGATGTCTTCGTATTCCTAGAGCCCTTGCAGCCCAGCCCCTCCAGCTCTGGCACAGCCCGGGCAGCTGGATCCTGCCTGTGGCTGCTGCCTGGGCTTTGTGGCTCACAGGGAGCTGCTCTGTGTGTGTGCTTGTTCCCTTCTCCCCAGTTGGGGCAGGCTGCTGGGCTGGGAGGCCCTGGGCAGCCAGGGTGGGGCCACTGTGTCCGTCAGCCCCAGGATGTGCGAGAGGGGACATGGAAATGACAGCACTGGAGAGGGTTCGGGTTTAAAAATAACCACCTGGGCGGCAGAATGGCCTCCTGGCCCCACCAGCTGTCCTGGATTCCCGTCCTGCCCCAGCTGAGCTGTGCTGGAGTCCCACTCTGGGCTGTCCTCAATGGGACTGGAGCTGGGATGAGGGCAGCACGGCTGCTTGGCAGTGGGAGTTGGACCCCCCTGGGCTTGGATGCCTGCATGCCCCCTGCTCTGCCCCACTGAAACTGGCTGTGCCTCAGGTAGAGGGTGGCACTGGGTGGGTGTTCCAGTGGGGCACCTGGGGAGAAGCCAGCAGCCTGTCCAGAGATACAGAGGCTGGTACAGACCCTGCCCTGGCTAGGATCTCCTGGCGTGTGGGGCCTGGAGCCACTGGGACCTTCTTCCAGGAGGAGCTGGGTGTCACTGGGGGAGAAGCAGTGGGTTTGTCTCCTGAGCCTGGCGTCTCTCACAGGCTGATTCTGAAAGGCCTGTCCCTCTCTGCCACTGCTTGCCTGGGGCCTTCCTGCTAGGGCAGCAGTTTTTTTGGACAATGTTAGACTTGCTGCCATGTGGGGACCTGCAGGAGGGTGAGGTGCACAGCAGTTGCATTTCTGCTACTCCAGGGTCTTCCCAGCTGCCTTGTCCCCAGCTGCCACAGCTTCTCACAGGCGGTCCTGCCCAGAGTACCGGACATAATACCAGGCACTCTGGAGTGGGGCCCAGCCCGTGCACGGCAGCCCTGGAGCTCACATTGCACACACGAGGTGTAGAGGACTGGGGAGACCAGGCTGTCAGGGCTGTCCCACGAGCAGCATTTCTCTGTTGCAGATCTTTGGTGACTATTACCACTTTCGACACCGCGGCGTGGCCAAGCGTTCCCTGTCGCCCCACCAGCCCTGGCACAGCCGCCTGGCCAGGGAGCCCCAGGTACGAGCGAGCAGGGCCTGACTTTGATCGCGGCACTTCACAAAGGCACGTGAGCCAGTGCTGGGCATGGGACAGGGCCGAGCTGCCTTAACCATTCCTTGGCAGGGGGGCGTGGGAGCCCACCCCGTGTCTGGCAAGGGCAGGGGGGTGGTGGAGCCAGTGTCAGTGGCCTGTGGGTTGTTGCAATGCCAGGGCCCAGGAGAGCTCTGTGTGCTTGGGACAGGACAAGGTGTGCAGGGCAATAAGCAGATTCCAGAGCAGTGGTGTGTGGGGGCTGCTGTTTTCCCCACCCTCTGGCTTCAGCCCAGGCCCTGGAAGGTGTGTGGTGTGGCGTGGCAGCTCTTGGCAGCCCGTGTCTCAGCAGAGCTTGGCGCTCTGACCGTCCCGCTCCACTGGAGCACAGCCTTGCAGGGCACAGCCAGGAGGGGGGCCTGGAGGGGCCGACTGGGGGTGGCAGTAGCTCTGACAGGTCCATGGCTCTGCCAGGCCAGAGCTGACTGAGCTTCCTGGGGAGAGCCCCTCCAGGCAGGCTGAGGGCTGGGCCCATGAGGGTTGGCGGGGGACCCCACACCTTCTCTGCCCTCAGGTGCAGTGGCTGGAGCAGCAGGTGGCAAAGCGCAGGACCAAGCGAGACGTGTTCATGGAGCCCACGGACCCCAAGTTCCCGCAGCAGTGGTACCTGGTGAGTGTCGGGTGAGAAGGAGGCCTGTGCCCATGATTGTGGCTGCGAGCTTGGGGACACAGGTGTGGCAACCTAGGAACTGCTGTCAGGCAGCAGCTGCTGCTCGGCTGGCAGGAAGGAGGAGGAGGAGAAGGGGGAAAGCCTGAGGCAGCCACCCCTGCTGTGTTATGGGAACACCCCAGGGAGGAGGCTCTGCTCACAGAGCTGTGGCTCCTGGCTGGAATGCTGAGAGGACGGGTGGGGTACCCAGGGCTGGACTAGGAGGTGCAGCCTTTTGCCTAGCCCAGGAATGGGTCCCTGCCTCTGCTTCCTGGAGCTTGGGCACAAGCCTGATCTCTGCAAAGGGTGCCTTGTCTGTGGGACTCAAGCATAGGCTGGGGCTCAATCTTGCTTTCAGAGCAGCCCTTCTCAGCTAGTTGTGCCCAACCTTGTGCCCGGGTCCCTGGGGTTCCCTGTCACAACCCACGGAAGAGCGGGGTGAGAGCTGGGTGGGTTTTGGGCCTATCACAGTGGCTATGTCTGGGTGCATCTCCTAGTGCCAAGGCTTCTCTTGGCAGTACAACACAAACCAGCGGGACCTGAACGTGCGTCAGGCCTGGGAACAGGGATACACGGGCAAGGGCATCGTGGTGTCCATCCTGGATGACGGCATTGAGAAGAACCACCCTGACCTGGAGGCCAACTATGTGAGTTTGGGTGATGGTGCAGGGTGGAGTGCCGTGGGCGCTGGTCTGGGCAGCTGTGTCCATGCAGGGCAGCCCCAGAGCTGTGAGGTACAGGGCTGGGACATGGAGATGGGATTGGAGCCTGCCCACCCTGCTCAGCAGCTCAGCCTCATGCCAGGGAGTAAGGGCAGTGGGGCTTGGTGGCTGAGGTAGACAGTCTCCAAGTGTCCAATTTGTTTTCCAGGACCCAGGGGCAAGTTTTGACGTGAATGACCAGGACCCGGACCCGCAGCCTCGATACACGCAGATGAATGACAACAGGTGAGGCAGGAGGGAGGGCCGAAGACACAGAGCCTAAGTGTGGCAGGGACTTGGTGCAGTGCCACCCCACATGGGCCACTGGGAGCTGTGAGGCTGGTGGCATACTTCTGCCCCATGGGGAACCCTTCACCTTCACCTCCCTTTCTGACCTGAGCAGCATCCTGTTTCTGCCCAGAGCCAGTGTGGGCTGTTCAGTGCCCTGGCTCTGGAGCAGGGGGGCAGATGGAGGAGCCTTCACTGGCTACCTGGTCAGAGGGGACAGGAGGCAGCCCGGGTGGGGATTGCAGGGGCCACAGCCTGTACTGACCCCTGTGCCCCTCACACCCTATATGAGCATGCTTCATCCTACTTTGGTTGCAGACATGGCACGCGCTGTGCTGGGGAAGTGGCTGCTGTGGCAAACAACGGCATCTGTGGAGTTGGCGTGGCGTACAACGCCAGGATCGGAGGTGGGTGCTGAGCTGGGGCCCCGGGCCCTGCTGGCTGCGGCAGCCCTGTGGCAGCCCCTGGCACAGGGGGCAGCAGGGCTCTGGGGTTCTCAGCGGCGGCACCGTGGCCGCTCTGCCCCGGCCCGTCGCCGGTGACATTTGCTCTCTGGCCTAGGAGTGCGCATGCTGGATGGGGAGGTGACCGATGCTGTGGAGGCCCATTCCCTGGGCCTGAACCCCAACCACATCCACATCTACAGTGCCAGCTGGGGCCCTGAGGACGACGGCAAGACTGTGGATGGCCCGGCCCGGCTGGCAGAGGAGGCTTTCTTCCGTGGGGTCAGCCAGGTGAGAAGGAGGGTTTGCTGGAGGAGTACTGGCCTCGTTCCTGCCCTCCTCCCGGGTCTCCCTTCCCTCTGCCTGCCCTGGGTGTTACCCTGGCCCTCCCGAGATGAACCATCTTCCAGCCCATCTCTAGGATCAGGCTCTGTTAGTTTTTCTTGTTCTTCCTGTGTGATGGCTCTGAGTCAGGACTCCTCCCGTGTGGTGTTATCTCTGTGAGGGCTCCTGTGTGAGATGCTCTCTCCCTGCTCTCCCAAGCCCTCTCCTGGTTCTTTTCTGGTTTTGTGTCAGGTGCTCAGCCTCGCATCCTCCACCCGTCATCCCCCACTGTCCCTTTGTGCTGTCAGTGTTGCCCAGCTGGTGAGCTGTCATGTTCTGCCCAGGATTCCTTACAGAGAGATGCATGTGGTGTCATGCTGACTCTGTCATGTCCTCTGCGAGGGTAGCTGCCACTTTTGGGTGCCAAGACAGGGCCAGGACTTTGTTCTGGGCTCCCCCAGCTCTGCCAGGCACTGCAATCCCTCACAGACAGAGTCAGGCCAGGTGACTTCTGAGCAGAAAAAGACTTGGGCTCCTGGAAGCCTCACATTGTCTGGGCCTCCTGCTGCCTGGTGTGTCTCACACTGGACAGCCCTGGAGTCTCTGCCGAGGTGCTGGGCACCCTCCATAGGCACAGTGGTGGTGAGGGCGCCCATGTTGGTGGGCTGTGACTGGGGTGTCATGCTGTCCCCCGTGTCCCAGCTGCATTTGCTCTGTCTGTTCAATTCAGATTGGTGCCACCCACTTGTCCCCAGCTCCAGCCTGGGGTTTCCTGTGTGTGGCACTGCTGGTGCTTGCCCTCACCCTGCCTCTGTTGCTAGGGCCGAGGCGGGCTGGGCTCCATCTTCGTCTGGGCGTCTGGGAATGGGGGCCGCGAGCATGACAGCTGCAACTGTGACGGTTACACCAACAGCATCTACACGCTGTCCATCAGCAGCACCACCCAGTACGGCAACGTGCCCTGGTACAGCGAGGCCTGCTCCTCCACCCTCGCCACCACCTACAGCAGCGGCAACCAGAACGAGAAGCAGATTGTGAGTGGGGGCTGCTGCCGTCCGCAGGCCAGGGGCTCAGGGGGTGGGATGTGCCTGCAGCATTTCCTGCCCTGGCTCTCCTCCTCGCAGGTGACGACTGACCTCAGACAGAAGTGCACTGAGCTGCACACGGGGACGTCAGCCTCAGCACCCCTGGCTGCCGGCATCATCGCCCTCGCCCTGGAAGCCAAGTAAGGCATGGATGGGGGCGGCTGTGTCTGCCCCATGCTGCAGTGGCACCTGGACGTGGGCCTGCCTGGGGCCAGCACTGACCCCAGCTCCGTGTCTCCCTGTAGCAAGAACCTGACGTGGCGGGACATGCAGCACCTGGTGGTGCAGACCTCGAAGCCGGCTCACCTGAACGCCAATGACTGGGTCACCAACGGCGTTGGCCGCAAAGGTACCGGGGCGCTGGGAGGGGAGCGGGGTGTCCCAGTCCCACAGGTACCGCTGGCCTTGGGGTGCTGAGGCACAGTGCCCTGGCAGCCCTGTGGCATAAAGGAGGCAGGAGGGCCCAGGGAGCGAGCAGCATGGCCAGGCAAACATCCCTCCCTGGGCTCCCGTGGGAGCGGTGCTGATCCCCTCTTTGTCCACAGTCAGCCACTCGTATGGCTACGGCCTGCTGGATGCTGGGGCCATGGTGAGCCTGGCCAAGAACTGGACTACGGTGGGACCTCAGAGGAAGTGTGTCATTGACATCCTTGCAGAGCCCAGGTATGGGCTGGTGAGCCCAGGAGAGGGTCACTCAGCATCTGTTGTGCACAGGAGCTTGAGAGCCTCTGGGCCCAAAGCAGGGATTGGGGAGAATCTCGAGGACTGAACTGCTGCTGAGACCCTTGGAGCATCCTGCAAGAGCCTGGGGAGAGCTGGGAAAGGCACCTCCAGCCATCCTGCTCTGGCGTCACTGATGAGCCTCCCTGCTGTGGGGCTGGGCCAGTCAGCATGGGCAGACCGGGGCGCTGCGGTTGGGGTGCAGCCAGCACGAGTCATCCTGGACAGAGGGGCTTTTCAGGGGGCAGACAGAAGCTCCTTTGACTCCTGCTTGGCTGCTGCTGCCACAGTGCAGCATGTGCAGTCTTGTCTGTGGACAGGGCACTCCCTCGGGGCTCCTGGGTGGGGAGATCATGTTGCTGTGCACGAAGGGAGCTAGGGCTGGGCCCTGCCCTGACCGCCCTGGGGAGCCAGCCCTGTGTGGCTACAGCAGGCACATCCTGTGCTGGCATCGTGGGGGGAGCGGCCGCAGGCCAGCAGCAGGATGGGGACGGCTCTGCCCATCCCATCCCTGGCTGGGCCGTGCAGGGTGTAGCTGGCCTGCGGTGTGTGAATAAAGGGCCTATTCAGGGCTCATGTGTGGCAGCACTGGGCAGCGCAGTGCCCTCCCCTCATGCCCAGGAGCTGGGGCACCCCTTCTCCTGCCTGCACCTATCTGGGAATGGTACTGTGGTGGTGCCACTCTGACCCACTGTGGATTTATTGCTGCTCGAGCTGTCCTGGTGCCCAGTCCCCAGGACAGCTGCAGAGCCCCACAGCAAGGAATGGGGACTGTGGTCTGTTCCCCGGTCTGGGACTGGCCTCACACTTGCCTGTGCTCGGCAGGGACATTGGGAAGCGTCTCGAGGTACGGCGGAAGGTGGATGCCTGCCTGGGGAAAGCCAACTACATCAGCCGTCTGGAGCACGCGCAGGCCAGGCTGACGCTGTCCTACAACCGCCGGGGGGACCTGGCCATCCACCTGGTCAGCCCCATGGGCACCCGCTCCACCCTGCTGGCTGCCAGGTACGTGCTGGGCTCTGGCGTGCCCCAGGCTGGCCCCTGGTGAGTCTGGGATGTGTTGACAGCCACATCCTTGTGCCCTTGCCTTTGTCGCTCAGGCCTCACGACTTCTCGGCCGATGGCTTCAATGACTGGGCCTTCATGACAACACACTCGTGGGATGAGGACCCCTCTGGGGAGTGGGTGCTGGAGATTGAGAACACCAGTGATGCCAAGAACTATGGTAGGGGTGTGCTTCCCTGTCTGCTGCCTCCCTCCAAGTCTGGGATGTGAGCTGTGTAGTCACCCAGTTTCCCCCCCTGCTCCTGAGCTGAGGGGCCAGTAACATCTTGGATGTTTAGGGTGGTGTGGCTGGGGAGAGGCTGGACTTGGGCATGTGGGATGGTACTGCAGCCCCTCTGGGGCAGTCCAGGCAAAAGGAGACCCCGTGCCAGCTCACCTGACCCCCTGCCCCTTGGGAGTCCTGTGCAGGGTCATGGCCCCACAAGAGACGCTCTCCCAGGTGGTGGGCACAACCCTGCTGTGCCCTGGCAGCCAGGATGGGGGACCAGTGTGAGCCCCCTCCCTGTGCCTGTCATGGGCACGTCTTGTGGGCACCTCTGTGGTGCTCACCCTGCGTTGTTGCAGGCACGCTTACCAAGTTCACGCTCGTGCTGTATGGGACGGCCACCGAGTCCCCCAGCCTCTCCAACCAGCTGGAGAGCAGTGGCTGCAAGACCCTGACCCCCAGCCAGACCTGCGTGGGTAAGTGTGGGGACAGCAGGGGGGGAATGCGGGTGCGGGAGCCCCCAGCTGACCCTGCCTGTCCCACAGTCTGTGAGGAGGGGTACTACCTGCACCAGAAGAGCTGCCTGAAGCGCTGCCCTCCCGGCTTCGCACCCGGCGTCCAGAGCACGCACTACAACCTGGAGAACAGCGTGGAGCCCATTGCACCCCACCTCTGCCTGCCCTGCCACCCCTCCTGTGCCACCTGTGCGGGACCTGGCCCCAACCAGTGCCTCACCTGTCCTGCGCACTCCCACTTCAGCAGCCTGGACTTCTCCTGCTCCCACCAGACCCAGAGCAGCCGTGCGTCCCCCGCCCTGGCAGACGGCGAAGGACCAGCTGAGGCCCCCCCTCCGGTCAACTTGCCTGTCCTCATCGCCAGCCTCAGCTGCATCCTCATTGTCATCATCTTTGTCACCATCTTCTTGGTGCTGCAAGCACGCTCAGGCTTCAGCCTGCGGGGTGTGAAGGTGTATGCCCTGGACAGCGGGATCATCTCCTACAAGGGGCTCCCCTCCGACATCTGGCAGGAGGAGGGTCCCTCTGAGTCGGACGGTGAGGATTATGAGGCCCACAGCGAGAGGACTGCCTTCATCAGAGACCAAAGTGCCCTTTGATGAGCCCTCCTGCCCCTCCCTCCTCACTGCCCAGCACTGCAGGCCTGGGGCAGGTGAGGCTGAGGGGCCCTGGACTCTGCCCCTGTCCCCTTCCTGCACTGCAGCAGCCTGGGGCTCCCACCCACTGGCACCATCCCTCAGCCCTAGTCTGGGTGGCCAGGCATGGTCCCGCAGGCACCATCCCCAGCACAGCACCGTCCCAGTCTTGCACCATCTCTCCTGGCCCTGCGTCCATCCTGTGCCCCATGCCGGGGTGTTTGGTGGCAGTGGGGCCCAACGCTTCCTGGCCCTGCACTGGCAGCAGTGTCTCCCCTGCTGGGTGTATGGCTGCTGCTTGGGATCTTGTGAGTTCTGCAGGATGGGCAGCGTGTGAAATCCCTGGGTTGCCATGTCTCAAGGTGGGCTGGCTGTGGCAGAGCTGAGCTCAGCCAGTGTCACAGCATCCCCCTGCCCCTCCCACCCTCAGCCCCTGCAGGGCTGCGTCCCAGGCTCAGTTCATTGTGTCCCAGCTCCCTGCCGCCTCCCCTGGGCCTGTCTGCTTCCACCCGTGCCCTTCGACAGCAATAATGGCCAGGCCTCAGCTGCTGCTGTCCACTGCCTGCCCATCCCACCGCCGCTGCCTGCAGCGGGTAGGAGCCCTGGCACCGGGGAGCATCGGGCTGGGCACTGCCTGGCCCTGTGCCCATGGCACAGCCCACAGCCTGGGCAGGGACCCCTCGCACAGTCCCTGCTTTGGGGGGCTGCCTTGGGCCCCTTGTGTTCTGCCCCTGGGGAGGGCTGTAGGTGCTGCTGGCTGGGACCGTCAGGTAGCGCCAGTGCCAGCACTGCCCCAGCTCTGCCTGCGTCCTGCCTGTGCTGGGCAGTGCCCGGCATTCCTGCAGCCCTAGCCCCCCGACGTGCCTTGCCCCCACTTGGTGACAATCTGTTCTGCTCCCCGCTGGAGCCCTTCCCCTTGCTGCCCCTTCCCCGTGGGCTGGGGGGCAGTGCCACGCGCCCCTTTGCCGTCCGCCGCCGCACACCGGGGCCAGCCGTGGATGGAGCCGCTGGCCAGGGGCCACAGGACTATTTTTCTATAACAACTTTTTGGTGCACAGTAATTTTTTCTTGTAATTTAATCGGCCAGGAGCTGCCTCCTGAGCCTGTTTTTAATTTAATGGATGTGGATATAACGCTAGAGAGACTGAGTTATTAAATGTTCAGAACTATGCAAACCAGCTCCGCTGCCTGTGCTCTATGTGCCGTGGGTGCCCGGCTGGGGCAGTGGAGACTGTGGGCCTCAGGGGCACCCAGATGTGCTCTGCAGGTGGGCTAGAGCCTGCAGACCCTCCCCCAGGCCAGGCACTGCCCTTCCCTGGCTGTGGGCAGGAAATGTGGTGGGGACGGGCAGGGGATGTCCCTCACGTGAGCTGCTTATGGGGACGTGCATCGAGGGCAGTTAATTCAGAAACGGGCTGTGTGGGTGTGTGGGTGTGTGCATGTGAAAAGCCTGGGGACTTAGCACCCCTTTCCCACAGCACAAGGCTCAGTCCCTTCACCACAGCCTGGGCCCTGGCTGCAGCCCCCGTGTTTAGCTCCACCCTGGTGCAGGAATGGCCTGGCTGGACCTGGGACCCACTCGTGCTGTGGCCAAGCTGCAGGCACAGCCCACCGCAGCCTCACCGAGCCCCACAAAAGAGCCTGTTGTGGCTGCGCTCCATCGCAGAGGCAGCTCCTCTCTGCGGCGGCGCTCGGCCTCGCTGTGCCTGGGCCGCAGCGGCTTCCTGTGGTCAGGAGCGAGGTCCCGTGGCAGGCACAGCCTGCAGCACGCTCACCCTGCTCTTCCTCTTCTGCCGAGGCGGGGCTGGGGCCGGGCAGCAATCTGCCTTCCAGAGAGAGCTGTTGCCCTTGCGGTCGGACGCAGTGCCGCCCAGCCCTGACCGCCCAGGAGCAGCCTGGCCAGGCGGGGAGGGGATGCTGAAGGGATGGTGGTGGTGGGAGAAGCAGTACGGTGGCAGCCCTTCCTTGGGGCTGCTCCAGGACCCCACATTGCTCTGCTGTAGGAAGGCGAGTCAGCAAAGCTCCCGGCTGACGTGCTTTTTCCCTGACTTCCTCTAAAAGTGGAATCGGCCCGGCAGTGTCCTGCAGGTGACATTGAAACTCTGGCGCCGGAGCCTGCCGGCAGGAGGCCCAGTGTGGCAGTCACAGGAGGCCCAACAGCCGGGCGGTGGCTGGGCTGAGCTGAGTGGAGCTGACCTGGGCCGTGCCACTGGGCGGTGGCAGTGGTGGTGGCAGCTGCCAGGGCTGGGCAGTGCTGCCGTGGCACCAGGGAGGCCCTTGGAAGGGGAGGTGCCCAGTGTGGTCCTGGCTCTGTGGATGCAGGCTGGCAGCAAGGGCTGGGGCATGGCACTCTGCGTGTCAGTCAGTGGATGCTCTGTCCTGCAGCCCTTCCCTGTCACAAGGGCCAGGCTTGGGGATGGTGACAGGGTGGCCACAGTTCAGTGGGGCTACACAGAGTCCTCAGGACCCCCCAGGTCCTGCAGTCTCTTGGAGACACAGGGACATGGAGTGGGGCTGGGAGCCAGGCAGGGCCCGGCACAGCTGAGGGGCTTTGCTGGGTGGGGCTGGCGCTGAGCGAAGGCTCCACAGGAGCAGCGGAGCCCTTGGTTACAGGGCTGGACCTGCTGGTGTCAGGCCCTGGTGGGAGGCAGCTGGGAGGTGTGGAGGGGCTGGGAACTGCCTAGCTGCAGCAGAACTGTGTGCTGGCTGCTGGCGTGGGGGCTGGCAGGGAGGGCAGGAAGCGCAGGAAATCTCGCAATGGCTGTATGGTCAGCACTGGGTTTCCTGTTCCTCCCCAGGAGCCAGAGCTGCGCCGGGTCCACACCGCGTCAGCCCCGGCCCCAGCAGGACGCCGGCAGCAGCCTCACAACGAAGACCCAACACCAAATGTAGGTTGGAAGCACTGTGCCCTGGTGAGGTACTAGCAGAGAAAGGGGGCTCCTTTGAAAGGCTGGGGGGTAGGTCTTGGTGAGGTCAAGGGCTGTGCCAGGAGACATCCTGCACTGCACAGGGAGGTGCCCCAGCACTCTCCTGCTCCTGCTGCACTCTTGTTTCAGAGCAGGGCACCCGGGGACTGCCACTGGGATCAGTTTAACTCCCAGTGGCCTTACTGGAGTCCTGCATGCTGGAACATACCCAGGTTCCGCACCTTTCTCTGTGGCTCAGCACCCTCCTCAGCTTCTGCTGGCTTCCCACCAGTGCCCCAGCCCCAGGGAGCTCCCACACCGTGGGCATAGGGGTGGGAAAGGGCAGGACAGGACTGCAACTGCCAGAGAGGAGGGGCTGGTGCTGCCAGGGGCCGGGGGTACAGCCGTGCTGCCCTTGGGGAGCAGTCTGTGCATGGCAGAGGTGACACTGCTGTCCATGGCTCCACACTTCCTCCTTCCCAGCACCCTCCCCACAGGCCCCAGCTCCCACAGAGCTTGGAGCACTCATCCTGCTGCTTTGAATAGGCTTTGCAGGGCTGTTTGCAGTGGGTGGGGAGGGCCATCTCTGCTGCACAGACCGGATGATGGGGTGGGAGGGTGTGAAATGCAAAGCCCCCGGCCGCTGGCGCAGGCAGCGCAGGGTGGCAGCTGTGGCTCAGGCTGTCCCGGTGCCCCACAGCCCCCTGGCTGCACAGCGGTGCCATGGGCTTTGGGCCGGAGCTGTGGTGCCCGCAGGGGCACAGCGCGCTGCTGCGGCTGCAGGATGGGGAGCTGCGCCTCCTGGAGCTGATGAGGAAGTGGATGTCACAGCGGGCCAAGAGTGACCGCGAGTATGCAGGGATGCTGCACCACATGTTCTCCCAGCTGGAAAAGCAGGAGAGCACTTGGCAGCTCCATGGCAACCACGGTGGTCACATCGAGAAGGTAGGGATGCCTCAGAGCAGGACGGTGCCCTGCAGAGCCCAAGAGCTGCTGCGGGAGGATGCCATCTCCACGCCATCCCTGACTCCCTTTCCTGCAGTCCTGGTGGGTGCTGGTGAGCCGGACAGAGACGCTGAGCCAGATCCT